TTGGTGGGGAGGAGCTGGACAAGCTGGCTCTCACCTTTGCCGAGGAGTAAAGAACAGAAGAAGGAAGTGCACCACAAAGTGCAGCTTTCAGGGGAGAAGATGTATGTGTTTGCATAGCCCAGCCTGCCCTGCTTACATTTAAGAGGGAGCAGAAAAGGCAACCTTCAAGGATGTTGTTAATCAGTGCGGTGAAGTAATAAAAATACAATTACTTCAATAACATCAAGCGATACTTGTGTCCTGCTGCTGCAGAGGCTAGGGGTTCCCACAGGAGCGCGCTGGCCCAGGACTGCTGATGCTGATGAGAGCTGGGTGCCAGAGTGGGTCAGCAGCATCACAGAATCCAGTGAAATTATCCTGTAGGGGAAAGACCTATCAAACTAGAAACACATTTGCTTTGCAAAACTCTTTAGCATTGGAGTTTCTAAGTCACACCACTTTGCAATGTTTAGAATAGTATTTTCCCAGGCTATATTTTTTTTTTAATGCAAGTCTGTTGCGTTACTGCTTCCCCGGGTACCAATGGAGTGAGGTTGCAACTGCCAAAGCACTCCTTGAGCAAACCCAGTGGGTGCCTTTACAGTTATGTCCCCAACCCTTCTTTCAGAAACTGTGATATAGCATAGGGACTAATTGTTCTTAATCTGGGAGCAGCGATACAGAACTTTCATTTGCTTTCAGACAAGTCCCAGCTTCTGGGGAATTAAGTTACCCAATGACCTTTTATTAATGTGTGTACTTTAAAACCAGCTTAAAAAGGTACAGCAGTACTTCACAGATCAGCACCCTTACAGCCAGAAATAATGAATTTACATTTTGGCCAGTCATGGCACATAAATCTAAAAGACTTGCTTGCTTAAAAGGAGCAGCTGCAGACACAAGCCAAGCTTGGTCAGAACATGATTATATTCCCTATACCATGCAAATAGCCTAATATGTTACTTAAGCAGCGACCAGTTCCCCCATTGGCGCCGTCCCAGCACAACCCATTGTGAGTGCCCTCGTCTCTCACCATTTGGGCAAAAAAGTTTTAGAGTACAAGGAAGTACCCGCCCGCTGAACAGGTCTTGCCTCACCGGGCTGCGAACCAAAAGGACGGCTGATGTCATCCTCAGCTTGATGCGCCCGGCCGCACCGGTTCTACCGTGGAGGCAGCGGCCGCCTTTCGGCCTCGCGTTGGCGCCGCCGGAGTGGCGCTTCCTGATTGGTCGCTTTGAATCATCTCGCCACTGCGCCATTGGCAGAGCGCGGCGGCGCGCGGCTAGTTCGAACGTGCCGTGCCCGCCTCTCGGCAAGTCTGGGGACGTCTGTGCAGCAGGGAGCGGGTTCGGTGGCGGTTCGTCAGGTAAGGGAGAGTAGGGCCGGCAGAGCGCTGACCAGGAGATGCGGGGATCGGCGGAGGACTGACTGGGAGGTGCGGGGACTTCAGCCTGGGCAGGCCGGCGCTGGCAGCGCGGCGGGGTTGAGGAGTCGCTTTTCCGC